TCTTTCCATTCTTCCTGTCAAATTTTACAGCCTGTCCCTCTTGTCCAATTCTTTTCCGTTGCATCATTTTTGCATGTATTTACTGTACTGAGTATTATCTACTGTACTGCACACTGTGTGAGTCTTTTGGACAATGCGGCTTGGCCAGAGTAGAACTAGAGTAGAACAGAGTAGAACTGTCTCAGGTGGTAGAGTGGATGTGTGTGTTTTAGTTAAGTCACTGTATGTGTGTGTGGTTGAGTGAATGCGAGTTGCAGTAGTTAGTGCTAACTAACTTTTTTAAGAAGCACCCAATCAAAAGAAAGTAGTCTTACTGGAAAGGTGGCCTACATTTCTACAAAATAAAAAATACTGCAAATTCACAACCCGATGATGTCATGTAGTATAATATGAGTTGCAGACGATATTTTTTTAGCAATTTACACAATTCAACCTAAATCCCTACATAATTAGATGCAGGGCTTGGTTTTTCTCCGTGTCTAGTTCCTTGATCTAAGTAAGGCTTCTACAACTATCTCCAGGACCACACTCCCTACAAGATCATGATCATCGAGCAGGAAGTTAAAGGAAGACTCGTGACCGCATGCAGTCGCCCCATGCCTGACTCTGCACATAGAGGAAAGCTCAGCGTGGAGGAGTGGGTGAGGAGGAGCTAAAGTGAAAATGAATAGTCCCCATGTGTTTACATAGTTCGCCATAACTTACCTATACGCCAGAGTCATGCACTCAAAGAGCTTCGTCAGTGAGGCGTCTATGGAGAAGTGCGACGAGCTCGCTTTTCCAAAATGATAGGTCTGACACGTTTGTTTGTTGACAGTGTCGAAGTCGTAGCCTTTCTTCGGCGGATGCTCGGTGTGGGGCGAGGACACCATGAAGTGTCCGCTATGGATGATCTGAGACTCCAGTCCTTCTGCCTTCCTCAGCCCTAGGTGAGTCTCCTCCGTGTCCGAGTCGTCATCCTGCTCCTGCTTTATGCTCGCGGAAGGGCAACGGTATTTGTGCCGCAGGGACACCTCGCTCATAGCCATGTCGATAACTCACCAGACAAATGGCTAAAGTTAGCCAGCAAGCTAGAACAATAAAACTCTCCCTTTCATGAGTCTCTCCGGAGAACACGCCGACCGTTAAACTTCACCAGCTTCACGCCGCGGAGTCGAGGCCCTCGGTTCACTCATCGCTAAGCTCGCTGTCGGTCATTAAACTCCCAACTTAACTTGTTGTCTTGAGTTGACGTAGCTACGAGTCTCAACCACCAGCTGACGAGAAGCTGCTCACTGGACCCTCTGCCCAGAGCAGGAAGTTCCTGTCGAAAAGCGCCTCTGATTGGGCCGCCTCAGAGCCCCGCCCACTAATCAGACCCTGCAGCCACAGGCACGTTTCTGCAGCGAGGAAAGACGAATGATCACGCTTGTGAATTGTGAAAATATCTTTAATTTAAGGATCGGGTTTAGTGGTTTAGAGACAAGGTTAGAGAAACAAGTCTGAGATGGTTTGGCGAGGATAGGTGATATATCAGAAAAAGGGCTTTAGAATATTGAGCTGCAAGGTAGAAAGAAAAGAGGAAGACCTCAGAGAAGATCCGTGGGTGTGGTGAAGGAGGACATGCAGCAGGATGATTTGACAGAAGATCCTATGAAGCCAGATGATCCGCTGTGGCGACCTATGAAGGGAGCGGCTGATAAAAGAGAACAAGACTTGTTTTAAATCTTCCTTTATTAGAATGCATTTTATCCATTTAACATGTGGAAGCGATTGTCATCAGAAACACTCAAATATCAACAGAAAAAAACTCTCTACTGCTTAACTGACTTTTTGTATTAGTATAAGATATGTTTTATATTTTAAGCTAAACACAGATTACACTCTACCTTCTGTTAATAACATGTTACAGTAATACTGCTGGTCTTTAAACAGACCAGCAGAGCTAAAACCTCGTCATAAACATAGATTCTCAGGCAGACGTTTTTGGTTCATCACTCTGGAGGGGAAGACTTGCTGCTCTGCTCTGCTGAGGACGTGAAGCCCAGGATCTGACCTGTGAATGTCTCCACAGATATCTCACTTGGGATCACAGAGTCCAGTGTATACTCTGAATGTCCACCTGAGTACATGCACAGAAAAAAATATTTTAGTCTCAGCATTTATGTGAATTTTTTGGTAATGACTTGGAAGTATGTGTTGTTGCATTACACACTTTTAGGTTCAGATAGTCCCCCTCCTTCTTCCTCCTCCTCCTCCACATCATCGAGGCCTAAAAGAGCAGTGAAACACTCCACCACTTCTTCCTCTGTCATGTGTTCTCCTGGGTTTAATATCAAAATAACAAACGTGTTGGATGAGCTAATAAAAACTGACAATAAAACATGGACCATAGGATTAAGATTTATAACCAGTAAGATGCTGACCAATCATTCTCGTTACCTCGAACCTGTAGAAGTTCTATCAGCTCTTGTCTCTGTAGGACGGGCTGTCCTGTGCTGTCAACCTTCCCAAGGGCCCAAAAAGCTCTAACCAGATCACTGCTAGAGATGCTGAAGGCCGGCCGGTGGTTGACATACAGCTTGATAAATTCCTCCAGGTCAATGTCATTTACATATTTTCCTGTTTCGGCATACTTACTGAACTTAACTTCATTTTGCATGTCTTCTATCTGGTGAAGAAAATATGTTTAACTGTTATTAAAGGGTTGAAATTAAGTGCCGGTTTTAGTTTCACTGAATTTACCTCTTGTTCAGTAGGATAGTACCCCAAAGCTCTCATGAGAGAGGAAACCTCTGACAAGGGGATTTTGCAAGACACTTGTCGTTTCTCCATCGAGTCCACGCCTTGATGATGGACTTGGCAGTAATAAAAAAAGTCCTCCATCTCCTAAAGACAGAAGAACTCCCATTACTGATTAAAATGTCACAGTAAACAACAGTTTTAAAACTTGTACTAGGGCGAGGACTTATCTTATTTTCTTGTACTATTTAGAAATACATTTTATGCGTGGCCATGTGCATTGGTCTTCAGTTCCGAATGTCCAAAATAGTTGCCATATTTTTTTTTAAATATATTTCTCTGTAAATTCATTTTGTATAGCCATGCATAAAAAAGTGTAGGCTCATATTTTTTAAAGAAAATTTCAATTAAATAAGCGAAATTCATGCACATATGCCTTTCTCTCTGAGAACCAACAGAATTAAAAGCACAATGAATCTGTTAGATTAAATAAACTTTTTTGGGGAAAGTTGGGAAATTATTGTGTAGGTCATGTAGGTTTAAATAAAATAAAAAAAAAAAGAATAGCTCAATGAAATAAACACAATTTAAAAAGAAAAAATAGTAAGTAAAAGGAGGAGAATTAATACATAAACATTTAACAACAGAGCTCCGTGAATTAAAAAGAGACATTTATATGCTTAACAACCAGAGATCAAACAAATACATACATGTATTGTAGTTTTTGGTGCACAAAATACCATATTATATAATGCCATTAATGCCAGTGGACACTTTATTAGTTACATGTTGATCGTCCATGTTGGACCACTTTTTGCTTTCAGAACTGCTGAAAGTTAAAACTAAAAGTAAAACTACCTCAGGGGTAATCTGAGGTAGTGCAAAAAGTGTGTAAAATGTTTGGAATTTTTTTTATATCCTGACAGGTGTGTTCACCTGTCACAAAAAGAAGAGTTATGGTAGAGTTATATAAAGGACTGTGGGAATTATTTCCTGTAGCATTCTTTATGGTAGCACTAAATCTGAGGGAGAATGAGCTCTGGTCCCTCTGTAGTGTGGAGCGGATGATTGAGAGCAGTTTGTTTAGTGACTTCCTGTCTCTCACTGAGACAGGCAGAGGAACACAAAGTGGAAGAACGTTTGATGGCTGATGAGGTGTTAAGATTGGTGCTGTGTAGGGAGGGGCAACAGGGGTCCAGTACTGTATCCTTTTTTGCTCGTTCTTATTTCCTGAACTGAAAACCCTCTTTTTTCATTCATTAGGGCTTTCAGGTCAATGGTGATCCAGGGTTTGTTCTTAGGTAAACATCGGGCATGCTGTTTAGGACAATGGTATCCTTGCAGAAATTTATATAACTTGTGATACAATCCACGATTCTGATGATGTCATCCCCATGTGGCTTTGCACATGGGGATGACACAACGACTTTGCATTGTCGAAGGGGAGTATGGATCAGAACTTCGCAATCTTCCTGAATCCACCTCATCACAGACTTCATGGCAACATGGAGTCTTTGAAGAGCAGGGACATATTGAGATCTTAACAGGACCAGGTTGTTGTCTGAAATACCTACTGGGGGCAGGGCGGGGGCTTTGTATGCATTCCTGCTGTCTGCATATAGATGGTCAAGAGTTTTATTATCCCATGTTTTATAGTCCACATACTGCTGAATAGATGGCAGAGTGGAGTCGGTTGGTGCTCAGCTGAGCATCATCTGCCTGAGACTCATTAGACATCAGATGTTTTTTCTTCCCTGTCCAATTTTGGTGAGCTTGTGTGAATTGTGGCTTCAATTTCCTGTTCTTAGCAGACAGAAGTGGCACCCGGTGTTGTTTTTAGCTGCTGTAAGATAAGAGAGATAAGATAAGATAAAACTTTATTAATCCCTCAGGTGGGTTCCTCTGGGAAATTCGGTTTCCAAATAGCACAGCACTGACAGAAGTTACAGAATGTGAGCAGAATACCATATATACACATATATAAATACAGAGACATATATAAATAAAGCATATACAAAAGGGATAAATAGAATAAATAGGAATAAGAATACAAGGGAATTGCACATTTCAAGTATTGAAGTCTATTGCACCGTTGGTTATTAACAAAAAGTATTGCACAGTGAAGAGGCACTACAGCTTAGTTGTTCCCCCCTCCTTTGTCCTCCTGTTTCCCCTCCAGAGAGGAGTTAAACAGTTTGATGGCGTGTGGGACAAAGGAGGTTTTTTTTTTTTTAACCTGTCACTGAACAGACTCCTCTGGTTGTTTATGGCCGTGTGCAGCAGTTTTTTTAGTGTCCTTTTCTCTGCCACTGTCACCAGAGTGTCCAGCTTCATGCCGACCACAGAGCCAGCCTTCCTGATCAGTTTTTCCAGCCTGGATGAGTCCTCCTTTGCTGTGCTGCTCCCCCAAAAGTACTCCAGCAACCACTGACTGGTAAAACATCCTCAGGAGCTTCCTGCAGATGTTAAAAGACCTCAGCCGCCTGAGGAAGAACAGTCGGCTTTGGGCTTTTTTATACAGGTGGTCTGTGTTGCATGACCAGTCCAGTTTGTTGTCCACCCATAGCCCGAGGTACTTGTACTTGTTGATCACCTCCACCTCCTCTCCCTCTATCTGAACCGGCAGTGGACCTGTTCTGGACCTCCCGAAGTCCACAACCAGTTCCTTGGTCTTTGAGATGTTGAGTTGCAGGTGGTTTGTCTGACTCCATGTGACGAAGTTCCTCACCAGACTTCTGTACTCCTCTTCCTGATCATCCCAGATATACCCCACGATGGCCGTGTCGTCTGCAAACTTCTGAATATGGCATAATTCAGAGTTGTAGCAGAAGTCAGAGGTGTACAGGGTAAAGATAAGAGGGGGCAGCACAGTTCCCTGTGGTGCTCCTGTGCTGCTGACCACAGTGTCAGACGTGATGTCCTTCAGCCTGACATACTGTGGTCTGTCAGTGAGGTAGTCGGAGATCCAAGTGACCAGGCAGGGGTCCACCTGCAGCCTGTTTAGTTTTTCCTGAAGCAGGCAGGGCCGGATGGTATTAAATGGCACTGGAAAAGTCAAGAAACAGGATCCTGACCGTGCCTTTTCCCCCATCCAGGTGTGAGTGGGCTCTATGCAGGAGGTACAGGATGGCATCCTCCACTCCGACATCCGCCTTGTATGTGAACTGTAGTGGGTCCTGGGCATGTTGTACCTGTGGTTGGAGGAGGTTGAGGAAGAGCCGCTCTAGAGTCTTCATAAGATGTGACGTCAGTGCCACCGGTCGGAAGTCATTCAGCTCATTGGGCCGGTTCCTTTTGAGGACTGGGACGATGCAGGATGTCTTCCATAGGGCGGGCACTCTCCCCAGTTGCAGACTGAGATTGAAGACTCGTTGTAGCGGCTCCCCAAGTTCAGCAGCACACGCCTTTAGCATCCTTGGACACACCTTGTCTGGGCCTGCTGCCTTCCTGGGGCAAAGCTTCCTCAGTTGTCTCCTGACCTGATCTACTGTGACACTGGGAGATGATTGGGGGGATGATTGGGATGTCCTGCTGTAGCCCATCTGCTTCAAAGAGTTAATCTTCTGCATACGTTCGTTGCAAGAAGTGGTCATTTAAGTTTCTGTTGCCTTTCTGTCAGGTCAAAGCAGTATTGATATTCTCCTCTGACTCAGGAAATCAGCAACACATTTTTTCCCCAGAGAACTGCCGCTCACTGGGTATTTAGTCTCTGTGAACCATAGAATTGGTTGTGTGGGAAAATACTCGCAGAGCAGCAGTTTTTGAAAAACTCAGATGAGCCCATCTGGCACTAACAACCATGCCATGTTCAAAGTTACTTAAATCACCTTTTTTCCCATTCTGATGCTCAGTTTGGCCTTCAGCAGGGTGCCTTGACCATCATCTTGACCATGTCTACATACACTGCTGCCATATCCAAGCTGATATATTTGCATTAACAATCACTTGAGTAAGTGTGCCTCTAACATGTTTCAGTCTAAAAAAATCTGAATAATGCTATGCTTGTTTACTTAAAGCTCAGCAGAAAAAGGAAAAATGTTACTCACTCTGTAGAACTTGCCATCTCGTCCTCCCTCTAAGAGATTGTAAAAAGGTACCATGTCCTTTCCGCCCAAAGCGGCTGCTGCCTCAAGCACACTACATTCATCACAAGAAAGGAGACAGATTTCAGGAAACATCATTATACTGCTCTTTCATTTCGACTGATTACAAGGTTGCTATTTAGAAAAAAAACATACTTCAAGTTTATTTCCCATGAGAGGACTGTGCAGTCTGCTCCTCCTGCAGTGAAAATGAATCTGCCATCATAGGAGCAGGCAAACGCAGACACTCCTGCTGAATGGCAGATCAAAGCATTCGACTTGTAGGGGTTCCCATCCAGTGGCAGAATCTGGAGACCCAACTAAAGAAAATACAAAATACTCTTCATGACAGTATCACTGTCAATGTGATGACAATTTGATCAGAGAAAAGAAAGACACAAAAAACTTCTGTATTCAGTCGACTGCAGGAATTTAAACAAGACACACCATTTGGTGGAAGTGAAAGTCAAACATTTGTCAGTAAAATACTGCAAACACTGACCTTTTCCATTGTGATGAACGCCAGGTAATATGAGTTTGTATCAGCTTTTTCAGACTTGGGAAGAACAACTATCTTTTTAATTGGAGAGCCATATGTTGGGCCTTGAAGGGTCTTTCTGTTTTTGTAAAACATGTAATAGAGATGCGTGAGTATTTTGCTGTGACACAACATCTGACTGATCTTGTTACAGTATTTTGCAGACCTGCACATCTTTGTTGTGCTGTTGAAAAGCCTCATCTTATATTGATCTGTGATGATGAGGAGAAACTGCTCTGCCGTTAGGGGAGGATACCAAGTCATGCACATTGGCACGCCGCTTTGCTCAATGCGCTCCGAGCTTAAGATGACAAGCCGGTCCATGCTGCTGTTCTCCAGGTCGTACTCCACCTTTTATTCAGTTCCACACAAGCACAGAGATTTGCGTGTACCATTATCGTGTCAAAAACAAAACAGTGAAGTAGAGAAGAGTGCTGCAACTTAGACCAGGTAGACTAACCAGTTGGCAGTCCATTCCCAGAGAGAGTAGTCTGGGTTGGGTGCTGTCCAGGTGAACCCCAAAAAGAAGATCTTTGATGGGCTTGTAGTGAGAGTGGATCCTACCCAAATGCATCCACTGAGGTAAAGAGCCTTCTTTGGTGATCAAGTGAAACACTGACACTGCTTTTCCAGCATCCTGACAGACGCGCAAATCTTAAATCATCTCACAACAACAACAAAAAATGTTTCTGTAACAATGACAGCTCTAACAAAACTCAATACATTATAACAAATTCCAATCCACACAGTTCTCTCACTCACCGCAGTGGCGAGATATTTTGAGTCTGAGGAGAAGGTGATGAGTTGGATGCTGTCTTTGGTGTAATGTAAAGCTTCCTCTTGTTCACTCTCTAAGGTTCTGGCATTCAGTATGTGAACAGCTCCACTTGCAAAACCAACAGCCAGATATAATCCTGTTTAGAAATGAAATGTGACAAACAAAATCTAACAGCAGCTTTTACACACTGAGGATATGGAAGCACTTTTCTTTTTAAACATAGTCTGACCTTACCTTTAGGGTCAAATGTGACACACTGAATCTGCTTCTCTGTGTTAAAGACCTTTCTACCACTGCGTACTTTGCTGCTATAGTCCCACATTTCTAAAATGCCTCCATGGTTGCCAGTGACCACAGCTGACTGACTGGGGTGGCATGTCAGTGCATGTATAGGCTCATAATCCTCGTCCAGCACAATTCGAGTGATGAGGCTCTCTGCGTTCACATGCACAACTCTGTGACTGACAGTGGTCACAGTGAAGTTCCTGCAGAAAAAGACAGGTCAGCTTGCCTAAAAATGGATAATCTGTATTTTTATTATGCTGTGTAAAACAGTTCAGCGTGAAGATATAGTATCGGGTTCAACATAGCAAGTGTCCTGATGGCTTTGAGCCAGTAAAAAAAGTGTGTGGCCTATGTTGATTGGCCAGCACAGATCAATTCCTCTGTGAACATGAATGGATGCTCACTATTATTTTCTTTTAATCTCTTTAAACTACCTCTGCACATAAATTAAAAGCAGAAAAGTGAACTTTTTGTAAGTAAAGTAAGTAAGTAAAATTGATTTACATAGCACTTTTAAAGCCAGGAATCGGTTACAAAGTACTTTACAGGGAATGTAAAAATACATCAGACAAAAAAAACAAACATATTACACAAAAACATTACCCAAACGCCTGTCTAAACTGATGAATTTTTCAGCTGTTTTTTAAAATAAGCCACAGTTTTGTCTGCTCCTGTCCACCACAAGTTTGTTAAACATAGCAGTACCACAAACTCATATAAGGAGAAGTAGGTAAAATAGAAGCTGTCTGTCTATCTTGTATTTTTGCTCAGTGCTGACAGAAATAAATCCATCTCTCTCTAGCAATGGTACCTGCAACGTACAGGGCTGAATCTAAAAAGGGAAGCAGTGGTTACTACAGTGCATCAAGCTTTAGATTTATAATATAAAATATAAATCTACCAATAATATTTGCTATGTACTTGAGTATAGAAAGTAATCAGACTGGTGTCTCTTTTATGGCCAGTAAAAGTCTGATCTACTGGTTCAGTGGCTCTTTAGGCTGAACACTGTAGTAGAGTAAATTTGTATACCTGGTAATTAAGGGTTTGGAATCCAGTCTGTACTCCTGCTGCCTCCTTATCCACTCTTTGGAAAATGAAATAGAAACAATGGCATCCAGATTTAATTCAGTGTACCAAGCGAGCAGGGTGAATTTGCCATTGTAAAAGCAGATGTGGCTTTCAGTATTGCACGTTACGATGCAGCTGTGCAAGCATACAGACAAAGATAGATTAGGAACCGGTGAATGCAGGTCACAACTCACATGCAACAACAGACAATATTTCTTGCTGTGCCCACCTGTCGGTGACGGCCAGAACAGTGATTTGCTGTTGCTGGAGGTTGATTCGATTGGCCGTGTCTTCTTTCACAAGCCACTCAACAACACCACCTCCAGAGGCTATTAAGATCTTAGGCTCTTCCCAGTGAAACACAGACCGACTGAGAGACATATTTGCCACACCAAATTTTTCAGAACGGTCCAAAGTAAATTCAGCAGCACCACTGGTTTCCTTATTGAACTGTAATGGCAAAACACACCAGAACACAAATCAATATATTCAGTTACATAATGAGACAGACAGTTTAATAACAACTTCAAATTTAGAAGATTATCTTCACCTTCTTGAACTTCAGGTCAGTGTACTGCAGACTTCCACTTGCCTGAAAAAGGATGAGTCTATCACTATCACAATAAATACATAACAGTTGTACTACGCTTTAAAAAAAAACAAACTGAACAGCTGAACTCACGCTGCTGTAGAATAACACATGACTTTCACTGCTGCTGAGCAGCTGAGAGCTATTCTTCAGCCTAAACATGATGTAATCCTGAAAAACAGCTTAACACTTCAACATCTGTTCACCACAGTGCCGTTTCCATAAAGCAATGGTGCTATTCACATACTGAGAAAGCTTATTTACCTGAAAACCATATTTAGGATTGAGCTCGGTAAACCACAAAGGCTGTTCTGATTCATTGGTCCAGTCCCAAATGCACACACGCTGAAAAGATCGCCATATAATTTAAGCAGATTGTCAGTTCATGAAAAGTTTGCTTTTACCATACAGCCACTGTTTGTCCTATTGTGTTTGTATGTAAGTGTTTCTAAGACCAGGAAGTGTTGCTTAATATAAAATTTCCCTTTTCGTGAAGAGCATGTTTCATAATCTCAGCAGTAACTTCTTTTCTTTTTAGGTGTATCTAAACTGTGGGTGTCAGTGTAACTCTTATATGTAAAATAAAATGTGATAATAGTATAAATAACTATGTAATTGTAATTTTGTATACGTTTGGACAATTCTGGTTAAATAACTGACTTACACCATTTTGTGTGAAAAGGACAGCATACAATGTGTAAAGTTTTCTCACAAAACATCCTCAGAATCAGCTTTTTTTGTGTAATAGCTGCAGTATATTTAAATAAGCCATACAAAATGTTACCTTCCACATCAGCAGCATTCTCTGAGCTACACGCCTCATGATTGCATAGGAGGGGGTCAAAAATCGCACCATTTGGTTCACTTTTTCACTAAAATTGTTTCATCATTGCGATATGGCCAAACTGTCAACATTTCACAGTCTATACTTACAAATGTTGAAATTTGACTATATTAGACATTTCTTTTGACCAGGAAATAACAGGGCTAGAAGATTAGTCTGGTAAAATGTAACTAAAAGGGAGACCTTGCATGCGCTATAACTTTTTTTGACCAGCTGCAGTCATGTGAAAAAGAAAGTGCACACTTACTGCTTTAGCAGCCAGGTGATGATAGAGATATTATGTAAATATAGACAGATAAATGTAGAAATATAGATATAATATGAAATGTAAATCTAATCTAATAATCTTTGCTGTAAACTATATGGTTATCCTCATCAAGTGTGAGCACCTCTGTAACAGGAGAAGTTTTGGCAGTTTGCTGGTCTGGAACTTTCAGGTTAGGTTTGTATTAATACAGTCTCACAGTCTTTCCAGGAATGGATGTCTCAGCAAATCCACCCCTGCTCAGAGAAACTGCAAAAAAACTCAAGAGCTACATCGGAGACTCTAAAGTCCTTGGTTTGCATGATAAATGCTATATTTAGAAAATTAGAAAAAGACTGATCAAGTATGGCTGGTCTAGAAGGGCTGTCGTGATAAAGCCTCTTCTCTTCTAACAAGAACATGGCAAAACAGGTTAGTTTTGCAAAGTTGCATCTGAACAAATCACAAGACTTATGTAACAATGTTCTTTGGACAGATGAGACCTAAGTGGAGATTTTAGGTCATAATGTAAAAGTTTGGTCAAAGTTTTTAGTCAGAGTCCAGACCTCAACCTGATTAAAATGCTGTGCTGGGACCTTAAGCACAGCACAGCTTAAGGTGAATAAATGAATGGTGAATAATGGTGAATGGTGAATGGTGAATAATGGTGAATAAATGAATACCCACAAACCTCAATGTCAAAAGTTTTCCACAATAATGCAAGAGACTGATAAAGTCATACAGAAAATGGTTATTGCTACTAAAGGTGGTTCTAAAAGCCACCGATTCATGGGGTGTACTTATTTTTTCACAGAAACCGTCCTGCAAAACCTTCTTTTCCATATGACTGCCAATCCCACATGGTGATATGACTCTTAAAAAAATGACCTAAAATGACTAAAATGCAGTTTCATTGAAATATTAGAAAAACAAATTTTAAAAAGAGCGATTAATTTATATACATTTTACTGATGCTGCTATCATTTTTTATTTTCCATACACATATTATGATTACAGTGATTTATTTTTTATTTGTATTTTTTGCCAGCACAATAGCTCGGTGGAAATTTGATATTGTGACAGCCCTGAGCTGCCATACTTACTTGAAATTCTTCTGTCCCAAGTGTTGCCAGATGTTTTGTGTCGCTTGAAAACACTATTGCTATGACACCGGCGTCAGGGTGACAGTCAAACAACGTGTTCACAGGAATACTGTAACATTTATCATATAGGTGGTTACCATTGAGAGCAAGGTTAATGCAGTGAAAATGCCTCAATGTGTGAAGAATGAAGAGATACCCAGAGTAGGAGTCCCATATGATCACCATGCCATTTGGTCCCCGGTCTGCTGTTGCAATCCAGCGTCTGTCTTCACTCACACACATAGATGAAATGGAGTGGGAGTGCCCCTAAAGACATTAAGGAGAATATATAAATCTGCACACCTTTTATGAAAAGATATATACTGTGAACATTTAACATGAAAACCCAGGCTAACATGATCTGATTTGTCAGACTGTTTATTGCAACTTAAAGCAATGACTTACTCTTACATTGTTCAAAAAGCTGAAGTGATTTTTACCTTAAGCATGTGCCGGGACTTTGAGGTGTGATTGTAAATAATCCCAACATGAGCCGCAGCATAGAGCAAAACCAGCTCATCCTGGTCTTGCAGAGTGAAAACGGGAAGAGCAGGGCTCATGCCACAGATGAAATCTAGTGACTGGATGAAGGACAGGTTTAGGGTATTGCCAAGAATATGTGAAGTAAAACAGACAAATACTTTCAAATTACACTCAAATATAAACACTGATTGGGACATACTTACCAGTACATGTGCTTCAGCATCAGTTGTCTTCTTTGAGAAAAGTGTGTCTCTAGTTGCAGTGTAGACTTGAGACTGCCCAGTCCTCCTCGGTATGTCAGAGTTTTCCTTTTCTTTATCCTTACCTGCTTCTCCCCTGTCTTGTTCTTGTCCCACTACTGGGTGCTTTTCAGCTTCATAGCTTGTGGGTGGCTCCATTATGCTTAACCTTACCTTTTGGTACTTATATAAGCCTTCTCCTTGTTATCCTTGCCCTAAATTAACTGTAGGCCAAATAGTAACAGAAAAACAACACATTTAAGCTCTATTCGATATTTGCTCTTTCTAATTTTATTCCTACCAAAAGTTTTTGTCTGTTCTGTCTGGCTGCTACTTGGAGGGAAGCGTTTTGTTGCCTAGTTACAGAAGATCAACGGATGAGCCTTTTCAAATTAAAAGCATGATAGTCACAAAAGCACTCGAAAGCAATAAAGGTGGGGGGAAATGCTTTCCTTTCGATATGAAAACACCAGGAGGATCTTTCTGGTCATTTAATATGTTTATTTATTGTAATTGTTACATTACTTATAGGATCTTTGGTGCTCATAGTAAGCCAGGAATGTCCTAAATAAGTTTAGTATAGACATTCCAATGAAAACAATTGTCAACAAAAAAAATTCAATTGCCTTTAAAAATTATGAAATAAAAATTATTATAGTTGCTCCTGTTCTAATTTATGTATCACAGGTTCTGAACAGTGCTCCATGCAAGAAACCCAATAAAAACTGTGTGGTCAAAGCTGTCATATATGCCCTTATGGGATAGATTTGGTTTGGAAAGCTCTGTGGGTGATCTACTAACCGCTGCTTGTTTTATACAAACACAAACCAGTTCACTTAGCCCTGCCCCCTGACATTTATGATCTGGGAGGTTGACAGATAAAATAAACTCACGATGCACTGTATCATATTTAATCAAATAGTGACATGATTAAATATGTTTTTAAATAAAAATAATTATGTATTTAAATATTTTTGTAATTTTGATTAGTTGACAATTATTCCATTATTTGATTATGTATTTTTTTTTAAAGATAAAAGCCACGATAGACAAGATTATGTGGTTATTAACTATAATAATTCGAGATCGCATTAACCAAAAATATGTTTTATTTTGAAATCTACAGATGCTCGGTATATATAAAGCTTTTACTTTGAAGGGTCGACACAGTGTCCTGTACTTTCACGGTTTCCTTCTGGATGGTTTTTCCGGTTGCACGGCTTTAGAAGCGGCGGACTTTCTGGTTCTGTTTCGTGCCACTGGGCGTTATTAATGTTTGCTACCTGTTCTTAGCCTTTCGTTTTTTCTTACTGAATGTCTTCAACTGAGGTCTGAAAGGTTCTCGTTATCAGTATGAAGCGTTTATGACTGTGACGACTCCAGAAAGTAAAGGAGCGCTTTGATAAGATAACAGCGGGGACTGGTAATGGTTTTATCAGCTGACAGGTGAGACTGATGGTTGTGTTTAAAACGAGGTTTTGGTGACTGATTTAATGATTGACTGGTCACTCGCTTTTAGTTGGTACTAGCATTAGCATTAGCCAGCGGTTCTTGTCGCCAATCCCCCTCAGCTGACAGTCAGCCGCTCCAGCTTGAGATGCTAACGGCTAACACCCAACTCTTATACACTCGGGGATTAGACATTATGCCTTCATTGAAAAGTTTTGAATAAAATGTTACCACGAGGCTATAGCTTTTTGCAATAGTACTCGATACTGCCGAAAAAGTTAGTTAACTCTCAGCGCCATAGAAATGTATAAGACGTCTTAGGATACTAGGATATTTTAGGATATTTTTCACTCACTGGACACTTTAAGTAGACCTTGCTAGTGTCGGCTTGGATTCCCTTTTGCAATCAGATTGGCCTTAATGCTTCACGCTATAGATTCAGCATTGAACCGGAAGCATTACGCAGATATTTTTGTCCATATTGACATGACAGCATCACACTGTTGCTGCAGATTTGTCAGCTGCACATCTATGATGTGAATCTCCCGTTCCATCACATCCCAAAGGTGCTTTATTAGATTGAGATCTGGTGACTGTGGAGCCCACTCAAGTACAGTGAACGCATTGTCGTGTTCAGTAAACCAGTTTGTGATGATTTGAGCTTTGTGAAATGGTGTGTTGTCTGTCCCATCAGAAGATAGGAACACTGTGGTCATAGAGGGATGGAAGTGGTGAGCAACAATACTCAGTTATGCTGTGGTGTTTAAGCAATGCTTAGTCGGCACTAAGGTTCAAAGTTTGCACAGCACCACCAGCCTGAACAATTGATACAAGGCAAGATGGATCCATGCATTAATGTTTTCTGACCCTGTGCCAAAATGGAATTTGGACATCTTTCCAATCTTATATTTATCAGTTTTAGTTGTTCAGTTTAATGTTCTTTGCGTCACTGCAATTCTGACATTATGTGGTCATCCAGAATCATAAAATGAGACTTGGTTGAGGGTTTTTTTTTTTTTTTTTTCTTCACAGGGTGTTGGGCTATGGTACGCATAACCAGGCTATAGTTTCAAACACACAACTGAGCTTTCTTTAAAATTACTGACATTTTTTATAAGACAAATATTGAGTAGTTAAGTATAATAATTATGATGATAAGTATAGTGGAACTTTACTTTTTTTGTGCTCTAAAGCTGAATTGTACGTCCAGCAGGTAGCATATAAAAGACATGTGGATGGATAAACAGAGAGGAATCAGAGTTTCTCAGGAGGAGCTGCTCTGTAAGAACGCCTGTGGTTACTATGGAAACCCAGCATGGCAGGGTTTGTGCTCCAAGTGCTGGAGAGAGAGGGCACGGGCCGCTGGAACCCCGAGAGAAGAAATTAGGTAAACTTTATTCATGCTGTTACGTTTGCTCATTATGTTAAAGTATATTGAAAATGTATGTGAGAATACTGCCCTTTAATATGACATCTGGATATGTGAGGGTATAACGCATCAGTCTAAATACAGATAGAGAGACCTTCCATTTGTTTTCTGTCTCTCAGCTCGGGACAGAGATGTCTAATCCTTTCATTCCTCATAGACCGCGCAGTGATGGAACGCTCCCCACATTCTCCAAATTTGAGGAGAAGAAAAACATTGAGAAAGGTCGTCGAATTAACACAGTGAGAAGACTGTTCTGGGGCAGCCCATCGCCTCCAAAACCTCAAGGTAAAACTTTAGTTTTGTGGTTTTCTTAAAGTCATTATTAGGTCAACAGCCAGTTACAGCAGCTAGCCCCATTTGAGGTTGCCACAGCAGATCAGCTGCCTCCATTTCACCTTGTCCAAGCATCCTCCTCTGTCACACCAACCATGGTGGCCCTTTTTACTTTTTTTCTGCAATCCTGTCTCTCTGAAATACTCAAAAAGAAGAATAACTTAATACTACCCAGCTCCTCTGAATAGAAAGCCAGAATTCTTCCTCTAAACATTGTCATTAAGTCCATGAAGGTAAAAGTTTTAACCTTCACTCAGTATTTTTGCTGTCTGTAAGAAAAAAAAAACCCCCAGCAAAATGCAGAGAATAAGGCAACAGACTTTACTAATAATCACTGTACACAAACATCCACCATACCTTCTGCTGAACCAGAATGCACTATATATACTGTTTTGGTCTTTTGTACACATCCAAATTATGCATACCTATATATAGTATTACCAGGCCTCTGGAGAACCTCAAGACATGTTAAGGATGTAATTTACCCATATTATATAGCTGTGTTGGATCAAGGACGCATCTAAAACCTGCAGGACACTGGCGCTTGAGGCCTAGAGTTCCCTCACCCCTGGATTAGATTATCTGGCTATCTGTTTGGATTTTGCTGCCTCTTCACCTTTTGACTATTTGTCCCTCCAGAGTCTTCTGAAAGCCGTGCAAATGTGTTAAAAGCCTACGAAAACCTTGAGCCTGGAGACTTCACTGGTTTCCTAAAGATACTTCGGAGTCCTCCTTCCCAGCGCTTGCAGTCCCGCTGTACAGCTTTTCTCAACACAATGGAGGCATACCATGTAAGCAGTTTAAGCATCTAACACGACAATTATGTCACGAGCTAGAGGCATCCTGATCATCGATTCACGTCATCTTTGCAGGATCTGCCGGTGCAGAAGCAGTCAGACCTCGTGCAGGATTTTTATCAGTCTTTTGCTGAATATTTTAGCAGTGAGTACAGATCTGTTCCAAACTGTGTATGATGCAATATTTGTATTTAAAGTGGCTTTTAAATCGCTGTTTATGTTTTCAGGTTTTCCTGAAGCTCAGGTCACTCAGATAATGGAGCATGTAGAGAAGTTAATAATGACACGGCTGCACAAATGGGTTTTCTGCCATGACAGCTGTGATGATGAACAGAAGGACCTGGCTCTCCAGAGAAGGATCCGGTACATCAGCTGTGTTTTGTTTTGGTTTTACCCATCTTGGAAAAAAAACCCCAAACTTCTAATCCTGAGTTAAAAGTCAGGATTAGAAGTTTTGTGTTTTTGTTTTTTTTTTTATAACTAATGTCTCTTATTTGCAGTTCTTTGAACTGGGTTACGCCGCAGATGCTAGGCGTACCTTTTCCTGATGAAAAGGTCTCTGTCACAGGCGACCCCTTTCTGCCTGCTATAACTGGTGATTTAAAATCTCAATACTTAAATGAGCAATTTGACATGGTGGGAAATGCATTTGTTTGCTTTCTTATCTAAAAATTGCATCAAAAGATTCATGTCATGAGCAACTTTGATGCTGGTAACATATTACCTGTGTACGGGTCCAGGCTTGCCAACTGCAGCCTCGTATTTAACTCCCTGACATAAGAAAAGAAAAAGTGCATTTCCCAAAATGAAAAACTGTTACTTTAATGATAAAGGGAGGCATATTTTGTCAATGTCATAACATTTGAAATGAGTTCCAGCCTTTATTTTTCCCACAGCCATAATCGAAATGGATGCCAAACGAGCACCTCAAGACAAACTCGCGTGCGTTTCCAAATGCAGCCAGCATGTCTTCGAAGCCCTTTCCCGCTCAAACAGTGAGCCTGCTAATGCTGATGACTTCTTGTCAAGCCTGGTTTACGTGGTGCTGAAGGCCAATCCGCCTCGCCTCCACTCCAACATGCAATACGTGATTCGTTTTGGGCTCCCTCACAGTCTGATGGCAGGAGAGAGCGGCTACTATTTCACAAATTTGGTGAGTTGACTGAAAAGTTCCTCACCCATCATACACCACAGGGTGTTGTTAGACCTGTTAATAACTCATACGGGTGTCCGCATCTCTTTATTTAGTCCTGTGCTGTGGCCTTCATTGAAAAGCTGGATGGGCCAGCACTCAGCCTCAGTCCAGAAGAGTTTGAAGGCTACATGCTGGGTCAGCGTACTCCCTGTGCATTAAACAGGAGGCAGCAGGTGATCAGTGACACACAGAACCTGCTAGAAGACCTCAAAGGCAGGCAGGAGAAGCTGGACCAAGGTATGGATGCTCTCAATGCGCAGCTACAAAAGTGGGTGCAAGAAGTTCATTCACAGCTGGATGAGACCAGAAGCCAATTTGTCCTGGCTCAGAAGGAGATAACTGCTCAGAAGGAGGTTTTGTTGTCCACTCAGGATAATAAGGAGGAGTCAGTGCTGGTGCTTGAGGATCAAGACGGAGGTTTGAGGGAAACGGGCTGTTAGGCATTTCTATTAATAGAGCTAATCTGGCACTTGACTTTATTTAATCGTCAGCACTAACATTTGTAGGCTGCAGGACAAATGAAGCGTACTTTCCAGTGCCACATTTGCACATGCTCCCAATGCAGGAGTAGGGCATTTGTAAGCCAGCTGAAGATGAAGGAAACTTTATGCATGCAGTAACACAATGTTCACAGAGGTTTTAATGACTTTAGTCCAAATTATTTGCCCATCTGTCCAATTTAAGCATTGAG